TTTAAAACTCCTTCAACACAAACACATCATAAATTTTTAGCAATTTTTCACATCATAAATTTTTAGCAATTTTTCATTTATTTAGAAGGTTTACAACTTATATGGTTGTTTTAGTATTGTTGTTAAAAAGCTTATAAATATAGCCTTTAATTCATTGTTTCCATATATTCTAAATCTCTCTCTTTTATCGACTATTATAATCCATATACAACTTCTCGTGTAGTGTATTTTAATATGTGTATTGTTTCCATCCAAATTTGATTTTGTTTTATGTTTTTTTTCTCTTTTTAGATTAAACGAATTTTATTAGGCACTAGGTGTGAAACCCGTATGTTATACGGGTTTGATAAAACAAAAAATTAAATATGAAGTTTAAATAAAAATTTATTTAAATTTGAAATTTTAGATTTGAAATTTAAAATTTAAAATTTGAATTAAAAGGAAACATATTAAATAATATATGAGTACTAATATTGTAATTTATTTGTTATTTTCAATTAAGGTAATTATTAATTGAGATGTAGATATGATTGTTAATTAAGAAAAGATGAAAAAAAATGAGAAAATGACAAATGAAAAAAACATTTAATCAAAAATACAAAAAAATGACATGTGTCCAAGTTAATGAGAAGTTGACATGTGACAAAATTATTTTCATTTATTAGGGAGGATGAGTATTTAGTATCAAATCATGATTTTGTGCTGATACGAATTTAAATATATGAGACCGTACACAGTACTCTAAAATTACAAAAAATGGGATTTGGTATTTGGTATCCTTTTTCAACCCAATTTGGTATAAGATTTTCTCGGATCGGTCCGTATCCAATATCATCCTTATCCCTAATATATATCACCCAGTGATTGTTCATTAGTTTTGGGCAAAGAGACTTTGATTAGGCTTGGTGAATATTTTTCCATATGTCTTGTTTATTAAAAATGGACTATTTATCTATAAAAAAGACTACATAACACAACTTCTACATATAATTTTTTAAATTAGGGTTGTTTGATAGTTGACTGAATCATATTTGATTGAGCAAAGGTCTGGTTATAAACAATCCTAAATCTAGCCGAGTAAGAGATATATCAGAAGAATCAGGACCAAATCAGAGGCTTTTAAGTGTGTTATCAAATGGTCAAAATCTGACTGAGTCAAATTCAACCCCTTACCATACCGAATAGAAGACATATCAGAGAGCCCCTTAATCTTAAAATGCTAAATTGTGTTGAAAATTATAGCTACCTTCTTAAAACAATAGTATCATCATTTAATACATATAGATTATGAAATGTTATAAGGTTTTAAAATGTATCTCCTTTTATAAACTAACCACGTCTTATACACTTGACATTGTAAAGAATGATCGTGTTTTAAAGCTTAACAGGAAATAATAATTTAATTTTTATTCATTCCATTAAGGAATACACGACAAAACAATATTTCTGAAACTATTTGACATATAAGCAATGAATCTAAAAATACATGATACTAATATACTATCATTTGATACAAATATAAAAAATAAACATATAAATTATTCGAAAATGGTTCTAACTTGATGGCTGTGACCAAATTCATAGGCCAAAAGTAAACTCCCATCCATTCTTTTAAGAACAAATCTTTCAACCAAAACATAACAACCAAATCTCTTCCATCTACCACTTCCTTCAAACTTCTCTTCTCTCGTAACCATATGTATCCTGTTCTCTCCACCATCAACCCATCCAACTTTTTCTTCTTCCCACCTCATTCTTTCAACAATTTCTTTTCTCAACCCTACACTTTCTTCTTTCTCGTTTTCACCCCCTTGACAGAAAAACCACACAACTCCATTTACCACATTTCTCTCATCCCATATAGCCTCCCTCAAACTCTCACCAACAAAAACTGCTTCACTATTAAATACAGCATCAACAAACACAACATCTCCTTTGGTATTGTCCTCGTTTTCTTGTTCAAGAACTCTTTCCCATCTTTGTTCCAGTGTCATTTCATAATATATAGAGGTTTTCACCTGGTCGATCTGTCTTCCTTCTTTGATGAACACGAATGGAGAATACCACTTGCCAACAACCACTGAATTCGAAGTTTTGGTTGAAGGTAGGAAACTAAATTCAGGGAGGCGTGTACGAAGGGCATCATTGATTCCATTTGCTTCATGTAACGTGTAGTTTTTAGGTGTCTTAGTATAGATCTCCCAACCTTTTCTCTTTAAGAAATACGGAGGCTCACCATCTTCCATTAGAGATTTGGCATAAAATCTGCCATCACCGCTTAAAAATGCTTTGTAAGGAATGATCTCAAACTGTTGGTATACATCATTTGGATTCAATGGCCTTGGTTTTACATCATTGAGAGAACCACCACAACAACAAGGCGCCATGTCTTCCTCCTTTGAACATGCAAACGCTTCCCTAAATAAATGAAATAAAAACGTCAATTTGAAGTTCAAAGACAACAACGAGTTAAAGAGAGAAAGTCAAAAAGACACATGATACATACCCTTTATGTGAACCTTTTGGTTTTATGGCATAGTAACGATTTGAAGATAAGGGTTGATTAAGAACTGGAATAAAAACAACTTCATCAAAAGAAGCACTTGCATTTTCACCCACCCCTGATGAATAACGTGTGGTCAATCTTTTGTTTTGAGGAAACGGCAACTCTTTAAGATACTTATTCTTGTGCAACCCAAAGAATGAGTACGTTTCAGACTCTTCGTCTTGGATTACCAAGTAGCCCGAGTTTGGACCCTCGGGAGGCAAATGAAGAGCTTCAGGAAATCTCTTATAGTGAGAAAGAGATCGAGTTACATACATATTGATCGAAACTTATGGTTTTAGTTTATTGTTTAGAAAATGTTTATGTTGATGTGATTGTATATATACAATAAAGATTTGAGATTCAAGTCGTTAACTAACGTGGAGAAGTTAAACAAGTAATTGACTTTTCTATTTTTGCCCAAGTCATGATGTTGACTTTTTCTGTAGACATCAAAGATTATCCGATATACATGGTCTAGAAAATACTATGTAGGATGTTTCCTCGCGTTGGAAGCTAAATGAAAACTCTTGTATTCTTTAAATGGTATCTTTTCAAAGGAAAAAAAAAAGTTTGAAGTGTTTTGGGCTATTTTTAAGGCTAAACTAAATATATGGACTATGAAACCTTTGGAGTTTTTTTAATTTGGGTTACAAGTTGGTAAAATTTTGGGTTTTATTTAATTATTTACGGTTTAATTATGTGTTCATTTTATGATTTCATTTCCCTTTATTGTTATTACTATGAAAATTGTGAATGTCCTATGTTGCACAAAAATAAAATAGAGAGTCATTTGCATTTTTGGTCCACGAGTTTAGTTGATTTCATGTTTTTATCCTAAAAAGGTCCGTGCTGCAAATTTTATCCTTATTTTGAAGTTTTAAAATGATTTTGACCCTTATTCCAAATAAAATGACTACACTATCATTTAGGCGTTTCTAATAAATATTTATTGTATATTTTAGTTTTATATTAATATTTAGAGGTGAACAAAATCGGTATAGGTTTTTTGTTTTTTATTTATTTATTTATTTATTTATTTTTGGGGTGGGGGTGGG